CACTTTGTCCAACTCGGATTTTTTGCTTGATATCCGTGCACAAGCCCCGGAACTGCTCAACATACATCATAATGTCCTTGCAGTTTCTCTGATGCAACCCAAAGAGCTTATCGCGCAAACGCTCTTGATGGTCATCAGGTTCAAATTTCTCGCGATGTGCTTCCTCGAATTCCACAAGCAATGTGATATCGTTACCTGCTTCGCGGGATGCCAACTCCTGATACCAAGCCGCCGCCTGCCCTTTGAGGTTTGCCACAGCCATCGCAAGGCAGCGCGTCTCGATTTCAGAGTCGTTTACATAGTCCAGGTTCCTCGCCGTAAAGAACATCCGAACACGGTGGATATACAATCCTATACTTTCATTAAGATTTCCATGATACGACGGCATGGATAATCCTTCCACTCTTCGTTCCGGGTCGCGCTGATGCGGTTGGGATTGCTGCTGCATCAAAAGTTGATTCGCAGCAAGTTGACTTTGCGTCTTCGCAAGTTGTGTTTGTCGCTTGTTGTTATAGGAGGGACGCAATATTTTGTTGTGGTTGGTCCATTTGAGCAAATAATTGCGAAAACGTTTCCTCCGTTTATGCGAGATTGGTTGATTACTTCAAATTAATCAAATCACTCAGGCGACTTTGTTTCTATTTTTCTTCGATCCTTCGGACAGCTTCAGGTTTTCACAATCCGGTTGGTCAAGATAGTGATGTACAAAAATGTTTTTTTCCAACTTGACTCGACTCCTTCCGCTTTAAAACGTTCTTGTTGCGCTTGATTTCCTTTTCACTTGCCACAGCCGCTCGCTCCGTCTTCTTGAAATTTTTGACTTCCAACGTCTTGTTCTTGCCCAAACGTGGGGGTCTGGTGAAAATATCTTCACACGGATCAAATGTCCTTTACTAACAGTTGACTCTACTCTAACCGACCCTGATGCCGGATACTAAGGAGAGTTTCGTCGTAGCAAAGAAACACGAGTCCGATCGCAAACTCAACACCAGTCGCTATGGAAGGTCGCCGATGAACCTTCGCCTGACCTAGACAGAGTATCCTTACAACCTCCGAGCTATGCCCTTGGAGTAAGTCCTTTTTGCCAACCAAGAAGTGCTACCAACTGTAGGGGGTTGATAGCGCAGAGGAAAATTGGAAGTGATTCGATTGTCATCGTTCATACTTTCTAACTAACGATCACTATGTAATACTCGAGCGGCCGTGTCGCGGGTGCTGCTAGCTGCCGTCTCATACCGACCACGCACACTCGACGTCGCGACATCATTAGTTAGATCCTATGGTCACTACCTGTCCGCCATACTAGAATGTCTCCGCTACGCTTACTAGTCACCCCTGACAACTCCCGCTGATGTGAACCGACCCTTCGAGACGATCACAGAGGACTGCGACGCAGAAAACTTCCCCCTTCTAGGAAGACTCCTCCTCCGACGGCAACGACAGTCCAATGGCCACCACAAGTTCTAGCACGCCTGCCTTCGTCGCATTGCTTGGGCCCAAGCCGTACCGCGACCGGCACGCCCGCTTACACTGGTCGGTCGGCTCTCAGGAGGCCTCGAGCTCATCTAGACCTAGCCAGTGGACCAGAATGTGGTATGCCCCATTCACTTTCCGCAGGCCGGCCAAGAGGAACCCTTGGTCGCCAAAAGTGATGTGTTCCACAAGGCCTTCGGTGAACTCACGGCCACCTTCATAGTACATCTTTAACCGGCATGCGTGGTGGCCCGACAGGCCATACGGCGGCAGCAGTTGTTCGGTTTCCATGGCGTAGTCAGTAATAGCGCGGACCAACTTGTTCGTCATTTACCAGTTCAGGGTCAACTGGTAAGGCTCCCGATGCACGTGGCCAACCAGCACAAAATCCCCAGGCGTGAAGCTCACCAGCGTCACACCGCGACGTTTGTCGTTATGTGCGCGCGCTTGGGCCCGTTTCTTGGCCCCTGACTTCGCGATTTCCCGGCCCAGTTGATCCAACGCAGCTTTGTGCTCGTGCACATGCTTATATCTGGCCCCGTCCAGGAAATCAACCTCGTTGACTTCTTTCGTCCGTGGGTGGAGGAACGGACTCAGTAGCATCGACAAAGGCAGCCCGGTGAACACTGTCACCGGTGCTTCGTTACCCAACTTGTCGCTGGCCATGTGGTGGAGCGCTCCCTGAACCAGCAGGAACTGGTGGTGCCACTCGTCGGCACGCAGGTTCACCTCGCTGGACAACGTTTTCAACGGGGGAGGATCAGGCGGTTAACCACTTCGACCGTGCCGTTGGCCCACGGGCAATAGGCCGTGGTGAAGTGGTGATGCGCACCCATCATCTTTTTCAGTCGCTCCACTACTTCGTTCTTGAAGTACGAGCATCGGTCTGAGTCTCACGACTTGACACAGCCAAAAGTGGTGAACCAGTCCATGAGACCCGCCACCGTAGCCGCTGCATCGCTGGCCTCGCCAGGGGAGAACCGCACGAATCCACTGAGATCGTCATTGACGACGAGCACCTTGCACCAGCCGTTGGTCGCCATCTGCATGGAAAGTCAAACGAAGTGGATCAGTTCGTTATGCTTCTCCGCATGCTGCGCCGCACCCAACGGCCGAGGTGCTACCCGCCCGTCCACCACAAGACAATTGTGGCATCCACTTACAAACCCTTCCACGTCGTTCTCCATGCTAGTCCACACAAACGAATCCTTCACAACATGAACGGACGCGTCGATTCGTCGTTGCCCCGCGGTCCCTTGGTGTGCGAACGATACACACCCGCTGCTGCAAGTTCACGGCCCCAGACGGAATCCAGATGCGTTGACGTCGACCAGTAGGTTACGTGCCTCGTCTCTCTGAACGTTCCGCGGTGGTTTTTGCCCGCCTCCTCGGCGGCGATCTGGCTCGCCACCCGCGCCGCCGTCGTTGGCCACTCGAAATTCTATTGCTGCAGAGGCGATAACACTGCCACCAGGCTGCGCACACGCCGAGGCACCAGGAGAGGCGCTTGACTGGGACACCCCCCAATGCCTCAAGAGGTCGCCCCACACGCTCTCTTCTCCCGACACACATTGGATTGTGTACGGGAAGGAGGTCATCGCCAGACCCAGCGTTCAAGCCTATGGGCCTGGTACCTTGCCATATTCTGCGACTGTCCCTCGGGGTTGAACGTATACATGAGGTTTTTGTGGTCTTTGAACAGACGAAAACCTCCCGGACGCACTAGCAAGTAGCCCAGGGCTCGCAGCTTTCAACCACCGCGAAGGCTTCTTTCTCGACGATGGGCCACCGCTCGCTCGCACCCATTGAACTACCCACTAATAAACGCCAGCGGATCGTGTCGTTGGTCGGCCAATACCAGAGCCAGATCCTTGAGAGGGACTGGTGTAGGGATGGCCCCCCAGAGGCCTTCACTCGCATCCGTGAACACGCAGACCATCAGGTCTGCCCGTTGATGCGGGAACCATGGCTAACAGCGGGGAATTAACGCGCGCAAAACACTTGCCACGACTTGCACCAGCCAACGGCGTCCAACGCAATCTTCGCGAGCTTTACCTTCTTCGCGCTGCCAGTTGACAATTGAGTGTAAATTGGAAAGTGATTGATTAAGCCGAGGTTAAGCTAGACTTCGAGAATGTTCGCTTTCTAGAA